AAAACACATTCACAATTTACTCTAATTTGAAGGATTTAGGAATTTAAGGTTAGGGTTTTTGTTTATAATTTAGGGTTTTGGGTTGGCGTTCAAAATTGAAGGTTAAGGGGTTAGGGTAATAGATGATTAATTGTGATTTTATGTTATATCATCATATTAGACCTAACACTACCAACTAAAGTTTCAAATTTGAAGTATTATGACCACTTTTAGAGTCAATGCACCAAAAAATTAAGTGCACTGAAGTAGCCACTTATACATATATGTATATTGAAAGTGTATAAAATGATTTAAATAGGTTGAACACTGACCATACCTTTAAATCTCAAACCACTTACTCGACTGACTTATGAAAGTAATAGTAGCCCATTTTCACCTTGACCAACATTTTTTGGTTTAAGGTAACTAGTCACCAAACAATAGATATTTTAGAATGGGATAATAGCATTTTATACTTTTTTACTATTTCGAGTTAACAAATTTATTCCTATAATATTATTTTGCACAAACATATCTAATGGGATTGCCAAATTTTTTGCTAAGGTGGATCGAATGGTGGCATAGGTCTTTGAACGCCGTTCGACAAGTAGAGATCCGTAGACAGAAGTTGGGAAACACCAAGTTTAACTTAAATGAAACCCAATCCTTGTGGACTAAAAAGCATGCAGACAAACTAACAAAACTAATCTACTTATAGAGATGGTTTTAGCGATCTAGTAGACTCCCCTGTTAGTCTATAAAGAACACAAAGAACAAGGGAGGTCGACATCCCTAAATCCAACAAGCAAACGACCCCTTTAGTAAGAGAACAAGGGAGGTCGACATCCCTCCTCGTAGCCTATTACTAGTATTTTTAGCTTGTGTGTTGCAAAGCCAAGGTGGTGCAGCCGACCTATCTTAACCTGTTATGGCTCCACCATGAAACATACTTCTTTATTATTGCAACGTAACAAATATAGCCTTCCATCCTCATTTTCGTCAATTGGCTGTTAGAAGGCTTGTAAAATGACTACATTATAACTTTGTTGATAATTATTGTACAACTCATTTCCATTAAAAAAGAGAATCAATTAAATAAATAAATTTCAAATTATTATTTTCATTATCTCCCCTCCCCTAGGGGAATACCCCAACCATAGTTGTCACGCATGTCAGTTGAACCTAGTTTAACCAATGCCAATCATGAAACTGACATTAGCATAACTGGTATGACCGACACGATAGATTTACGAATTCTACGCACAATGATGTATTTTTTAGTAAATTTAATTAATAAAAATGAATTTATTATTTATCTTATGAATTTAAAATTTAAAATTTGGTGTAGTTTGTTGGATTCAACTCTAAACGTTTAGGCATTACCGTTAAATGTTGTTTTTAAATATGAGTATTTTTCATTTTATTTGAAATGTCTTATTTTATTTAAATATGAATATGGATTGTAAGTATTTTCATCAAATATGTTTTATATAATCATTTTTTTAACAAATTTTATATAATGATTTGATGGTAATAGTGTTTCACTTTTCTACATATTTTGTTAAACTGGCATGAACCGACACAAACTAGTTGTACCAATATTTGAACCATTCTACTTGCTAATTGGCAGAACAATATAAATCGGTTTGAAAACCTTGCCTCTAACTATTCTGTTTTCTCTCTTCGCAAAGCAACCACCATCGCCGCCAATCTAATTCCACCCCAAGCACTCCAATTTTATCTCATCGCAAAGCAAACACCTGTCGCCGCCACCTGATGGAATAAGATTGGGACTCTGACGGCTCTCACGTCTTAGCACGAACCATAAATATAGTCTATAGCATCGATGATCTAACAATCAAGAATTGATACTACTCGAAAGATAGATTGTTGATCATTCCATCCGTACTTGACTAGGCTATCACCATACTTAATCCCAACTATAGGCTAAGTGCAATGTATAGAGGGTGTAGGATATGGTAAGTATTTCAATATAAACCCGGGCGGTCTATCTACCCTTACTTTGATTGTTCACACATTATCTAGCGATTGGAATGTAGTTAAAGCTAAGAAGACTATGAAAATTAAACAAGCAAGCAAATAAACTTTGGTGAGTTCGATTGAGAAAGAATCACTCGGATAGTGCTCCCCCTAGTCCTGTGTCAAGATACAACGAATGTAACTCTAGTGTGATAGGTAGGATCATATACCGGTAGGAGAACACAATTTGCTAGGGAAACCGCAAACCTCTCAATCTATCGATTAAGGATTGTCACGATTAACTAGAGAAACCCTAATACTCTTAATCAATTGACCAAGATTTTCAAAATCACTCATCCGATTATGGTTGTCATCCTAACGTTCACTCATGTGAGTTCTGGTTTTGTTGTTCAGCCATTCTACGCGATTGGTCCCATTTCTAGTCTATTGTTCCTGACTGCTACCTTTTCCGATCCCCGCCAACATTCGTCGTGCACTGGTAAATTCGTTCCACTTTCCCTGATCTTCCTCCATAGAGGGACATGCAGTACTTAAGTGTGGGGGTTGATTTTCTTAAATGCATGACTTTTGAACAAATGTTGGGCCTATATGGAGAGTGCTTGGGAGCCTAGTCTACTGTCCAAAATTTTATTTGAGGGCTCCAAGTACATTGTCCCTTATGATTACCAGCTCAATGTACTTTGAATTTCTAGATGTCATGATAGTATGCAACCTAGGGAGGCTAGTGTATCGTTGTGGAGGATATCGGTACATGAGGGGTTTCGTTTCCATTTCCTCTTGGGTTGGTTGATACTGTCTCCTATCGAGGTTAGGACATATGTGTTGGACTCTCTCCATTTTTGGATTCGAATTTTTTATTTTTTTTTGAAAAATGATGCTCCATTTTAAATGTGCTTTTAAATGAAAATGAGTGTCCTTACGTGAGAGACAACCGGTCATAGTGTTTAACTTAAACCGTCAAAAATTTTGGACTTGAGTGCCCTTTAGGATGTGTTTGGAGAATCTCGATAACTTTCTAGCGTCCAACCTTCATCTTTTACCTTCCATCCATAGACACCTCTCCTCCTCACGGGACTTGTACAAGAGGAGATAGTGTACCTCTATGCAATACGGGAGACCTAGACTCTTGCTAGTTGCTATGATCTCACATGTGTGGCAACCCTTCTGTCGTTGAGACGGGAGTGCAGACATGGAATTGGAGCTTCATAGATCAAGACCCACGTCCGAATGCTTCACTTGTCTACCCTTTTCCATCCTCTCAACTATTACTTTTCCCACATGAGGCTAGGAGAGAGAAGTCAATGTCACTTTTGCTCTTAGTCGTGAGATAGAGAGCCTTGTTTTTCAAAACTGAAGGTGCGATGCCATGTGAGGCAATGTTAAGTTGAGCCTCGAAGTGTGAGCCTTTTAACGTAGGAGCACATGTGAAGTGTCTAGACATCTTAAGTCGGCAAAGTCCCAACCCGAGTTTGTGTTTCACATTGAGATGGAGGTGAGATTTCTTGTCTTTGATCTCGTAAGTTGCCAGTTACCAGCTACCGACGAACAAAAGTTGCATACTGTTGTGGGAGTCAAGTGAGTTGTACCGGTTTGAGTAAGGTTTGCTTAGGGGCAAGTAAATGGTTAAGTGTGTGATGGAATTTGATAGCGTTCTAACTATACATGTTTATTTCCTCATTTCTTGATAATTTGAGCTTAGTTTCTTGCACCCAAGGTCAATTTCACGTTAGGTTGTGTTTGTTTGTGATATTTAGGTCCTAGGACGTTATTGAAGGCTGAGGAGCAAGTCTCGGGACAACTGGAGGTTATTGGACTTTGGAGTAAGGAGTGCAGAATTACACGATCATGGCTTGCATTCCATGACCATGCTTCTCAAGGATTCAACAGTGGGTTCTCATAGAGGGTTCGACGGACTGGGCATCCGAGTTACACGACCGGGGAATTGTAAGGAGAGCTCGTGGATTTTCCTTGCACAGTTCAAGTTAAACGATGCATTTTTCAGTTACACAATATGAAGTATGAGTTACACAGCCGTGTAACTGCTCGGGGAACTCCTACCTTCGGGTATAAATTGGATTTTTGGGTAAGGATATGATTTCTTTTATATGAAAAAAACAAGTTGAAAGACGTCTAGAGAGAGAAAGAAACAAAAAAAAATCCACCCTTGGAGCTGATTCGAGCATTCATTCGACGATTGGAGCTCGAATTCACCCCGTTGGAGTGGCGGACAATGACATGGAGCTTAGACGATGATCTCTACTATCGCCTTTGTGTTCTCCCCTCTTCACTTGGGTATGAAGAACCCTAGTTTTGGATGTTAGGATAATGATAGTATGAACCCTTGGATAGTTGAACTGATACATTATATTAAATTGAGGCATTATTCAAATCGATTGAGTCTTGATCACATTCTTTTGAATATTACTTTAACCTCAGAGAGAGAATATCTAATTATGTTAAGGGAGTAACTTCAGTTGGAGGTAGCGAATTGATTTGCAGGAATAGTGAATCATTCACGGCTCTGTATTTGAGCTTATTACAGTCGGGGATGTCTATTTGCATCGCCTTGGCATTTCAATAGAGTTATTCTGCTAACTAAATAAGTTGTTAGTATATACTAATTAATATCCAAAATGTATGAACTAGTATCCAAGTCTGCTGATTTTATGAAATAGTACTAAAGTATCTAGATAGCACAAACTAGTATTCAAAACATCACAAAACTAGTATCCAACTCACATAATTAGTATTCAGCCAATCAATTACCAACTAATATCCACAATCAAACCAACTAGTATAGTAGTATTCAATATGGATACTCTTATTTGTTATCTGGATACTCTTATGTTCTATCTGGATACTAATTATGTGATATATATGGATACTATTCTGTGTTGTCTAGATATTAGTTTGTGAATTTGGAATAATAGTTGCTTCATGGTAGATATCAATTAACAAACCTTGAATACTAGTTTGTGCTCTCCAGATACTTTAGTACTACTTCACAAAAGCAACTGACTTGAATAATAGTTCGTGTATTTTAGATATCAGTTAATATCTACTAACAAATCTTCAAGTTAGCCAATTAACTTTTGTAGTTGGCACGGTGTTCAATGGAATTATGTCCGAAGAAAGAATGAACCAACAATAGAAAAATCCAGCGAATCTTTTACAGCAACAGCACTAAACACAAGACTGGCATTTCAGTTCAACCCCCTGCCGTCCCTTAGAAACTTTCCTTTTATGTCAAAAATAAAGCCTCCAAGTAATCATCGATATAAGCTAAGCACGGCCAGTGATCTGTTCTAATTCGAACTAGTGTCGACAGATCACTAACTTCCATTTGGAAAAGGAGATGGAACCTAGGTGGCAGAAATATCAGCACCAGAATAGTTCCTATATTTCTTCTACCTAAGCTAGCGGTTGGAACAATCATATTGTTTCTCTTGTCGTTGTCATTATCATCATCGGTGTATGTAAGATGGAGTGGACCTGTATCAAACCCAGTAACTGAGCCCCAGCTATCTGAAACAGAATCTGGAACGTAATCCTTCCACACAATGTCTTTTATGATTCCACCATCCCTCACCATGTTAACAAGCTGTTCACCAACCACACTGACAACAAATGGTGCGAGATACTGCTCAATAGCCTGGATCAACAAATCAGCAGGAACCTCAAGCAGCTTCACCGAACGAGTACCAACTACAGCTGCTGCACCAGCACCCTTGCCTCCTTGTAACGAAAATACCTCCCGCCCTATGCTGGAAGAACCACTGCATGCTTCCCAAAGTGCATCAAACAACTTCGAGTAATATGTAGGAAGTGCCAAATCGTCTTCTAGGATGTCATGGGGAGGAATAGCCTTGAGAAACATATCCTCTATACCTATCATGATGCTCTGAAGCTGGCCGTTGATAATTTGACCATCCTCTGTATTTGCTTCAACAAAAACATCTACTAGACCAGGAGTTGGTTCCCGTGGTTCTAAATCGATTGATACAGGTGCGCAGAAGCTTTTTTCATCTTCGGGATATGATGATTCCCCAGCTGGTACAATGTCCAGTGCAGTGTAATCAGAAGGAATAGGTTCCCTTCTGGAGGGCTTGCCTTGAAGAAAGGGTAAGCGAAATGATGGAATAGAACCATATGGCGCAGTGGAAGAGAACTTCAGCAGAGTTGCATAAAGTGCAGGAAGATTTGTAGAGGAATCATTTCCTCCCCATATGCGATTGAATGTCTTAGCTTCAAATCTAAGAGAGCATGGTATTCTTACCTTAAGCCCTGACATGTACCTATAATCAGGAATACAAGAGAAGTGCCTCCTGAGTGTTCCCAAGATCTCAGATATCTTTGCATCCATTACCCGTAAAGTCTCCTGTGAAGAGTTGATTGTTGAACTAGTGCTCTCTGATAGAGAGGAAGATATTACTACAACACTGTCGTTCTCCCTTGAGGCAGCAGGGACTCCATCAGTTGTTGACCCCAGCAAGAAATCAGGCTTCATACCCCCAAAACCCAGAGGAGATAAAGACAAGGACCAACTTTGCCTAACAAGCAGCGGTATTGTTCGCTCTAGATGAATATAGGATGAGATGTTCTGGCATTGCTTGATGGTAGGATGATGCCGAGGAGACTGAACGCTGAAGAACGAATTGGAAAGTGGGGATGGTGCAAGGCTCAGGAGCTTATCACCAAAGCTGAGTATGCTTCTAAGCTTCAAACCCGGGATACAGATTAGCATCCGCAAGTAGATCCTGCAGCGTTAGGTAATGATTAAGTATAGACCACAGGCCAGCTACAGTAAATTAATCATCCTGTATCCCAATGATACTGGATAGCCAACCCTCTAAAGATATCATTAGAGAATGGAAGCTGGATCATCATAACTGATTCACAGGATTATTTGGAAAAAGTAGTCACTCATACCTTGCATTGTCACGGACCTCGAGATCAGGAAAGTACAGACAAGTGAATGCAAGTAGGTGAGATAACCCAAGGAACAGCCTAGAGCTATTGTGATGCATTAGCATAGTCCGGCAAATACAGAGAATATTACTTCCCCGCGACCAAGATTTCAATCCAGAATCAGGGCCATGCTTCTCAACAAGGAACATCACAAACTTGATAAGCACGTCCAATAACCCACAAGGAGGTATCGTTTTGTTCTCTGCAATTCGATCAAATATGGGGAAGTATGAAACCAATTTATAATCTATTCTCAATTTCGGAAGCAAACACTGATCAGTTTTCTGAAGCAGGAGCTCTCCCAAGTAGTGATGACTTTCACAGGCTAACAACCGGTCGACAAATGAAGCAATTACTGGGACCAATTTGGGATAACCCAATGTCATGTCCACTAACATCCCCTGTAAAATGACATAAAGGTAAGCACTTGCATAGATAAAGAGCTCAACATAAAGTCAAAGACACCAAGACTTTTAAGAGAGTAGACCCAGCTAGCAAAAGAATACAAAGCTACACACGATGTAATATAAGAAACATGAATGGCCCTCTTTGTTAATAACTTGACAATGGAGTCAGAGAAAGGAAAAGATACTAGTACAGTAACATTGCATTCGTTGTGTAATGTAGCAGGACATCTACTAATTCAAACTTCTGTGAAAAAATAAGCATGATATTAATTTAAATTACAACCTGTTAATCTCGAAACCCATTCACCAAAGCTGAGGCAAGAAACAATTACTAAGAGATTTGATTTCAACTCATAGGATTCTGAAAAGCTAATTAAAAAGTAAAATTCATGTTTCATGTGGTCGAAATTTAAGGCAGTGATACAGATTCTCCAGAAAATAGATTTATCACTATAAGAACTTAGTATTAAAATTTTATGTAGTGCCAAGTGATAAGATACCACATAAACGCCCAAGCTATACATTTGAAATATTCCACTTAAAGAATGAAGTGAGATTACAGTAGATGCAGTGAGAGCGAAAGAATAAATGATTTTTGGTCAAACCAAATGAATCAAGCTCTGATACATTGAGTTCACTACTTTTTTCTCAAACGGAATCACTAGAGGAATATTGACAATTTTCTAAAAAAATCGAGAAAGAGAGAAAAGAAAGCATAAGGAGAATCACCTGTAATGAACCGAACGCCCTAGATTCCCTCGTCATTGTAGATTCAGAAGGATAAACATCACCAGGAGACCAAACTCCAATCAAAAACTTATGGAATGAGCGGAATGCAACTGCAGTCTCGGAGCTGGATGGAGGTAACCATCTAAATGATGAAACAGAAACCAGCCCCATCTCAAATAGCTTCACCACAGAGGTTCCAGGGCCTAGCTTCTCATCAGAACCAATCTCTGTTTTAGAATTGTCAAGGCATATAGACCAAAAGGCCAGCATATCAAGCCTCAGGGCTTTCAGTGCAAGTGGATCAAATAGATCCGGATGAAATTTCTTGCCCATGTCAATAACTGATCGATACTTCTGCATTCCTTTACTGAAAACCAATCTACTTAAGAATCCTAGTGACCACTGAAGGGCAAGTAATCTAAATATCAAGTAATGCTGGGTTTCTTTGGAAATTAGTAACAGCCGACCCACAATCTCCTCCTCTTGTCCATCAAATGCATCCATGAAATGAGAATACATCACCAAGACAACGTGACACAACAATGGATCAAATGAATAAATCATTCCCAGGAACTGCACCTTCAACATGGAGGGCTGCAACTCCAAAGCCAGACTAAGTGGCATTATCAAACTCAGAAACTCCATCATTCCACATGGAGTGAACAAAACCTGAGGCGACTCGAGTAAGAACGCCATTGCCTTCCTCAGCTCCTTAAAATTCAAACCGGAGGAGACCTCTTTGTTGTTAATATAACTGGAATCCGATCCCGAAACTGCCTGAGGGACATTAAACGGAACCAACGGAACAGAAGTATTCGTAATAGAGACATTCAGCCTCCTATCAACGATATTATAAACAACAACAGCAAACAACAACATATAACATTGACAAGCATGAGTTCTCTCACTTTGACACAGACTCCACAGATGCCCTACGATCGATGACAGCAAGCAAGGGTAACATTTCTCTAACTCCCGCAAACACTCGCTGGCAATCGCTCGCGTTTGCCGGTCGACGCCGTGGTTCGGCCGATTGATAACCGTCAGGAGCAATTCGACCAAACTCTCGGTCTGCCGTGGGGGGAATCGGTCGAGAGCATCGACGGAGATGAAAATTGAAGTAACGGAGACCATGAATTGTTCTTTCAACGCGAAAGTCATGGTGATCCCATCGAGAGGAGCTTGGACGACGGAGCGGAGGAGCTCGAGGAGGCGATCCAACTGCAACTCTTGAGTGAAAAACGTTTCGCACAACTCTTCAAGAAGGATGAGGAGTGGGAGCTTGAGAGGGAAGTCCTTCTTGAGAAGAGACGAGAGGCAATGGTCGAGGAGGGCATGGATTAGGTTTGGGTGGTGATGGTCGGAGTTCCATTTCTGGAAGAGTGGACCGCCGTTCTGGAAGTCGTCGATGAGAAGCTCCCAGTCTTGTGGGGTCAGTGGCTTCGCTGGCGGTGGCTGTCCCTTGTCGTCGGTCATGGCTGGGCAACGGCGGCAATGGACATGGAAAGTTTGGGATATGCTCTCCTCCTTGTCAGAGGGGAGACTGAAGGTGCGAAACAACTTGTCAAACCGGTTTAACCATTGTGCGGCCGATCAAGCAATGGTACAACCGGTGACCCCATTTTAATAGAATTAAAAATTAATTAATGAGAAAGGTGAAAAATTATCAACACCAAATAAATTAGTTAGAAAGAAACAATTAAAAGAGTTCATTTACGTAAAATAATTTACAGTTCGATTTTTTCTTGGTCAACGTAACCTGCTAATTACATTAAGAGATAATAGAGATTACATCATTCAAATTGAGTTGGTCAATAAAACACATCGATGGCCTATCTGACCACATTTTCCGGATATCTCATTTAGTATCACAATGTGCCATTATATGTGTCGCATGTTTGCCTCCCATAGTCAAACCTGGTTCATAAAGATACTTTACCAATTTTCCGGCGGATTACACCAATCTCGGTCTATAACTTCAAGTAGTTTCACTTTGTAGGGATAAAACCTATCTCCTCTAAATGGGTTCTACACATCTACACAATATGTCGTCGAGTCGATGGTCACGCGCTCGACATCCTAGATTTACCTACATGAACGTCTAATAGACAGGAGTACGATTGCATCTTCCATCATATTAGACTCCTATATCATTCATCTACACTAACATGCCAAACCGCTCAAATCCACTCTAATTCATGCAACCCTAAATGATAAACTATCATGAAAAGAATTGGAGAGAAAGTTCAAAGCATAATTAACATAGATAAATGCATAAAAACTCGAGGTAGATTCAATTCATCCATAAATCACAAGAAGAGAATGATAAATCTTCTACCAACTAAGTTGCAATTAGGGAAATTGAGATACATACTACTTGATGCAAGAAAAGAACAAACATAAAATAAACATAGATAGATAGGTTCATCATCATTCATAATCAAGCCTAAAATATCCTCTTACATATCAAACCCTAGGTTAGGGGTTGGTGGACTAAACCCCAAAATACCTTGATGGATTACCCCATGAAGAGGGGAAGAAGAGACATGAAAAGATGGGAAGAAATAATGAAAAGGTTCTTTAAGTGCTGAAAATCCTCCTCCAAAATTCTCTTCCACTTCTTCTTCTTCTCCTCTTCTTCTCCAAGCTTCCACTTCTCTCTCTAACCTCATTTTAGAAGAAGAAATCTGCAAAAAGCCACTCTGCTCAAGGGGAGGAGGCCCTTATTTATAGAGTTTTGGGAATCCGGGAAGATCACGGTTGCACCCAAGAAGTTCGTGGCCGTGATATGAGAGAGAGAAGCCGCGATCGTAGACTTCAGCAGCTTTAGTCTTGTTTGGTTTGGGAGATCACGACCCGACTTCACGGTCGTGATATGTGAGTCACATTAAGTTAACGCCTGAAGCCCTCTAGGTCGCCGGTGCAATCTATGACTTAGAGCCCACGATGTTCATGCTCTATTTCTCGCCTCCACCTCGGTCGTGATTCTCATTTTTCTCCTTTTCCTACACTTGTGATCCCTTTTCGTACCTAACCGGATGTATCATCTAATACACCCTAAAATAACATAATATTCTCTGAGGAATGGATCAGGGGTGTATTTAATGAATTATCAACCAATGAGACCATGAAATAACCTAAAAAGATCCTAAATATATGGGCTAAATAACACCATTTTGGGTGTTATCAATGGAAGACCCTTTTCACAACCCGTCTAGCGACGTCTATGGATCCAAGTCTTCCCTTCATTTGTAAATTAACAAGTATCGTGATAGGGTTCACTTGAAAACAGAAACACAAATTAACCATCGTGTTCATTATTACCAATGTGCTTTCTCAATATGCATATAACATATCTTGTGGCTTGCCATTGTTTGGCTAACTTAATATATTGGGCTCTTTTTATTGGTTTATTCTTGTCTGGAAATGTGGATCGTGTATACAGCAGTGCAGAACACCGTAATATACATATACAACGTCTCGTTTTTCAAATGATTGAGTGTTTCGTCACATTCTTCGGTCCACTTAACCCACGACATCTTTTTAATACTTTAAGAGATGGATAAAGCACTCCAATGCTTCTAGGTGCCTAGTTAATCCTGCACATTCTTGAGCGCCGTAGGTGCTTTGATGCCCATGATAACTTCTACTTGCTTTGGATTGGTATTTATCCCCCCTTATTGTGATTATGAATCCCAAAAACTTGACTGGCTCTGCACCAAATATGTACTTCTTGAGATTGACACATAGCTTGAAGGCCCTTGGTCTCGAACGTCTCCGTTAGGCCTTGCAAGTGAGGGCGGCCCTATATATGTCTTGATGTTCCGGCCAATTTCTAGTGGAAGTCAACGTTGACCATGCATCGATATGTCGAGCTCGCATTTTTAGTACCCAACGCCATTATCTGGTAGCAGAGGTTACCAAAGGGAGTCATGAACGTTGTCTTCTCTCGGTCTTATTTCTGCATCGGGAATTGATGGTATCCCGAAAACACGCAAGGAAGCTGCGCATCTCATGATAAATCATCACATCAACAAGTTGATCCATCTTAGGCATGGGATTAGGGGTGGTAATAGGTTGATTACCGGGTTAACCGATTATTGCTATACCGATTAGCATCAAACAACCACCGACTACCGATATCGGCTAACCGGTCACCAGTTAGCAATCCGGAAACCCCCTAACTGAGATCCCGACCCTCTTCTCCCTTCCTCCACCCCCACCAATTCGGCCACAAATCCTCAACCCCAACCCCGCAATTCGCTCACTATGATCCCAATCCTCTTGTACCTTTCTATTGCTGCTACCACGAGTCACGACACTTTGTTTTGTCATTGAAGCTAGTTTCCCCAAGCGCCGTGAGGTCGTTGGTGGAGGCGTTGTGGTTGAGGCGGAGAAGAGACCCCAGCTCTTCGCCACTTTATTTCATTATTCATCCCCTGATTTCACTGGAGGGGAGAAAGGCAGTTCAGTGGTTCCTTGCTCCAAATGAGAGAAGATGTTCGTGGAGAAGATCGAGCAGTTGAAGAATATGCTGAGGGTGGAGGTATGTCTGCAATTGATTGGGAAGATCGACCTGACTGCTCAGTCACCACCAGCGTTGCCAGACGCCGCCCTACATCTCTAGCCTCGTTATTCGTCCATGTTCGCACCGCTGTTGTGCCTCACCGCTGAATTCCTAATCGCTGCCGATCGCTTTTTTAATTGAGGAAGGAGAAGATGGAAATTGGAAAGGGTAAATTGCATGTGGGATAGAGGAAAGGAAAGGGGGCGAGGGGAATTGAATTTAATTAATTTATTCTGAAAGAGGTGGATATATTTTAGGTGGGTTGGGCATTTAGGATAGAAGAAAGGAAAGAGGGTGCAGGGGATTGATTTGGTTTTTCTTTTGGTAAGTAGGGGATTGATTTTAGGTGGGAGGGGAAAACTTTAAAAGTTAATTGCATTAATGCATAGTTTACGGTTATACGGTATACCGGCTAACCATCAGTTATTAACCATTTAGAATTTGGTGTACCGAGTTAAATTATTTTACTATTGCTTACCAACACCGTCGGTTAACGGAAAACCGATTACCATTCCTACATAGGATATGCATCCATGGGTCTTGATTTATTAAGGTCTCTAAAGTCTATGCACATCCTCAAATCTCTCGATACTTTAAGGGGGGAGGGGGGGGGGGGGATTACAGTGTCACATCGTGTATCTGACTTTTTCAATGAATTTTGTTACGAGCAACTTATATATTTTAGTGTGCAACACCTTTCCATTTTAGCAGAGAGGTTCATCCTCTTTTGTTGAACCGCCTTTTTATTGCCTTTACTGATAACCAATGCTCAACTACTTCGCGGTCTACTCCAAACACCTCTTATGCATGCCAAGCGAATCATTCGACAAGCTCTCGAAGCAGCTACACTAGGGTAGCTACCATCTCGGCTGGGGCATGCGCCAAGATTTGATCTTGTATATTTGGGTGCTTCTCATCCAAGGGTACCATCATCTTTCTGTCGGTGGCTTCTGCTCCCAGAATTCCTTCAGTCTGAGCTCCATATTATATGTCCCATTATTTTTCATGGGTTGATGCAAGGTGCTAAGACCTGACACGTCACTAAATGAGGCCCTTCATTTAGAGTTTTCTATACTGTGCAAGCTGACAAACTTCAACATTTGATGGCACTAGAATCAAACATCTTTGAACATTCCATTAAGGGTCTCCCTAGGGTAGCATTTTAGGGTGAGGGGAAGTCTTACGACATCAGACTTGATGGTGTGAGTCACCCTGTGCTCTCGTCTCCAAGGGTCATCTAGAGGTATACACCCAATTAAACGTCAAGCATCCCGAAAATCCTATTAAGATCGTGTTAGTGGGTTGCATAGTTTCTATCACTAGTTGCATCTACTCTAAGATGAACTTGAAAATGACGTCCATAGATCTGCCAATATCGACCAACATCCACTTGAATTTGCAGTCAACAACTATACCATGTATTTTCAGTGCCTCTACAGATGGTACCCCACACGCTTCATCTGGGACATCATTGAAAGTGATTCAGGTATTTTTTTGGGCGTTATCTATTGTGTAAGCGACTTACAACCTACGCTCTTCCTTCATTTTCCCCTCTAGTCGAACTCAATAATTGTGATAGTTTCTAAGCTTAACCTTACTCGTTCGGGATACTCATAATACTTGAGGAGAAGAGGCGATCCGCCTTGTGGCAACTCTTGGAGATTTTGTTCTAGCTCTTTTTCCCTTAGGTTCTTTATCTCCTCTACGGTATATCTCTTGTGCGCCTTGTATAGCTATCTTGAGCCGATAACAGTTAACAATATGATGCACTTTATATATATGGAAGTCACAATAATGGTCAAGGTTGCGCTCATTTGGTTGTCCTCTCATTGGCCCTGGCTGTGAAACCCTGTGTCTTCGACAAAATTCAACACATTCTCCAAACTTTCATTTAGCTTGGTAAATGAAGAACTTGTATTAACTGGGTGCGTCGCTTTAAATCGACA